AAATTTTTATTGTGATTTGGGTGAAAGTTTACAGAGAAAATTCATTTTCTGTACAGCAGTTCATACACATTTTGTCTCATGACATTGACCGCAACATAATAGCTCTTTTTCCACTTCCTCCCTGTAGTTACCTCTTCCCTGTGTCCTTCCCTCCTGGGCACTCCCTCCCAACCCAGCTGGCTCCCTGTGCAAACACTGCCGTTCTATTTTCCCATGATTGATTGCTCCAAGTAGTGTATCTACCTGATGTAAACACTCACCCCATATGCCTATCTATTGTTTGCCTGGAAACCACAGGAGTGAGTTCAATTCCAGACCTGAAGGGTAGCTAGGGGCCATAGTCTCAGGGGTCTCATCAGGCTCTATCAGACCAGCAAACCTGGTCTTTTTTTTTTAAATCTAAATTCTATAGTCTTCACTTCACTATCCTGTCCATAGCATTTGATACTGTTATCAATCCTTCCCTTTGAAGCCCTTCAAGTCATCTCTCTTATAGGAAGTACCTTTTTCGGTTTTCTTCTTCTCCTGGTCAATCCATCTCAGCCTTCCAGGGCTCAAATTTGACCTCTTCTCTGCCTGCACCCAATCCTTTGGGCCCTGTTATTTCTAATGAGATCTCTCTCCTGACTCTGCATACTCTCTCTCTCTTTAAACACACACACACACACGCTCCTTCCCCAGGAAATACGCCAAGCATCAAGCATCAAGCATCAAGCCACCATAGCTTTGAGCTCTGTGAACACTGTATGTTTGTGTTACTTTAGGTTTTATGTGTTATTTGGGATGATCTGGTAGGTGATTTTTTGGCTCTGGGAATGCTCAAAAATTTTCCCCATATACATTAATGATAATTACTTCTTTTATTCTTTTATGCCATTTTGGCTTATGATAGCTTTCATAGGAATGCTCTACTTTCAGATAGTGGGGACAACCTGTCTCTGAACCAATTTGTATTTCCATCAGTAACCTATTAATGTGCTGTCATTTAGTCAATTCTGACTCATAGTGACTGCATGTGACAGAATAAAACTTCATAGAAGCAGACTCCCAGGTCTCTCTCCTGCAGACACCAGGGGGGTCTGGACCATGGCCCTTCAGTTAGCAGCCAGGTGCTCAGCCTCTGTACCACTGGGGCTCCTTATTTCCATCAGTGGTGTACGCGTGTTCTAGTTGGACCATGATCCTACCAGCACTGAGTACTTTTTAAATTAGATAGATATAATGAGTATTAAACAGTATCACTTTTTTGAATTAATCTGTATTTCTCTGAAGATTAGGGGCATTAAAGTAGATTCTTCTTAGGCAAACAATGATTATAGAAATATTTATTTGACTTTCTATAGTCTAAATTTCTCTTAATGTCTAGAGATATAAGAATCTGTTGGCTATTTCTACTAGTATGTCCCACTAGCACCAAATGCAACCTGTCTAAACTCTAGGGAACACAACTCTTTGCATGTAAAAGGCACTTAATGAACGTTTACTGAGTTATTTTTTACCGACATAAAAAATTATTTATTCTTGGGATTAGCAAAAATCACATTAGTAATCATGGTTTTTCAAAGTTAAAATAAAAAATGAGCTATATTACTATTACAAGATTTAACTGTTTGTCAACGTTAGATGAATGTCTTCGCTCATCAGAGAAGGAAAGCAATGATGTATTATTGGCCGAACTGATTATCACTGACCTCCTCTCTGTCTAAACTCAATCCTTCGGCCCCTGTTATTTCTAATGAGATCTCTCCTGACCCTCTGCATACTCTCTCTCTTTAACACACACACACACACACACACTCACGTTCCTTCCCTGGAAAGTACACTGAGCATCTCAGCATCAAGCCACCATTGCTTTGAACTCTGTGAACACTGTATGTTGGTGTTATTTTAGGTTTTATGTGTTATTTGGGCTGATCTGGTGGGTTAGTTTTTGG